TTTTCTGACTGGATGTCCCAAAAAACTGCAGCAAGAAATGAATCCTCATTATAAAATGGCCATGGAAAAAGACAAATAAGTACCTTGTACATTTGCATTGATTTAACCTTCGATGGTTGCTAATTTATCTCTCAAAGCAAGCACGTCAACCAACATATATTAATTAAAAACTGCAAAAATGAGAGAAACAGTTGCTAAGCTATAATAAAGTATCTAGGAAAGCCTCAGAAGTCAAAATGAACGTCAAAGGTACAATAAAAAACAAGTCATCAACAAAAACTCTACAAATTAAACTCTAAAATCTCTTTCAACTTTCCCTTTCCTCAGCATTTTAGCAAGAGTACATGCTCATACAATAATTATCGAACTCCTCGTGCAAAATTAAGGGTCTGAAGTTGTAAAGATGCTTAAAACAATACAAATTTTCATGGAATACGCATAGACTATATATACCAATATATCCAATGAAACAAAAATGCATACATTTTCCTCTCGTGCAAAATAAACCTAATGGAACTAACATTCAAGCATATACGAGTTTTGTCCATAATAATATGCAAGCATGATATATAAATAGTAAATTTAAGACAGTAATAGGTATACCTTATCTTTATATAGCCGTTTAAGCTGAGCAACACCATCAAAACCCTTCTCTACCAGCTTCCTCAAATTCCTCGGCCCGACTCCAGGTATTGTCAACAAATCGGGGTTCCCAACAACCACCCCACCTCCAACTCCACCATTTCTCTGCCTCCTCTGCACTCTCACTTGCCTCTCCTCCGCACCTTTTCCGTACTCCAAATTATCCACTCCCTTAGCCTCCGTGACGGCAAACTCAGCCCCCTTATCTGAGCTCCCAACCAGCGTCCTAAACCACAGAGCACGAGGCCCACTCTTATTACCACACTTACTCTCCTTCAACACAACCCAAGCCCTCGATGGAACTGCACTACTCCCCCCACTAATACTACGACTACCATTTTCGATGGCACACCTGCACAGATGACGATTGTTAGAGGCCAGTTTCGTAAACTTGAGGTTCTTGGCTGCCGCAGTGGATATGGGATTTTCGGGACCGTGGTGGAGGGGTTGGTGGAAGGAAGCGGCGGCAGATGGGGGCATTTTCACACTATTTCGGGTACTGTAAAACCCTTGGGAGAGGAAGCAGGGTAGAGAGAGGGAAGAATTAACGGATAAAATTGGGGGGCCAGATGGGCTTCTGCGCAGCAGCTTCTGCATCTCTCTGGTGCATTTCAGACCTAAAAACTATAGATACAAGGGTTTGTATGTATGTATCTATATATTCTATAAATATATAAGCTTGAATTTCGGGATGGTGGCGTTTGTAGCTTTTGAGAGGGTTTTGTAGAAACAGGAAAGAAGAGGGCTGGAGTTTTTAGGGTTGAAGAAAGGAGCATTTGAAATTATTTAGGGAAAATTTCATCATCAGTCTTCAAGCTATTGACTTCGTACAAAAGTGATCCCATTCTTCAACCTCTAAAACCCAGTCTTGCGCGTGTGGCCAATTTATCAAATTACAATTTATTAGTTTACAGAACATAGATTTTAACTTTAGTTGTTTACATATCTTATCTATCAACTTATCGTATTAATAAATGAAATTTTATTTCAGAATTGAACTGATATTATTATTTCAAATGGCAAGGAAAAAGTATTATTTTTATTGAGATGTCTCATGACAATAAATTAGTACAATTTTAAAGGTGTTTATTAGACTTTAAAACTGTTTAACTGTGTTGTAGAAAAATTTAGGTTGTTGTTAATTTGTCGTTTTCGACCCATTTTTCGTTTTCGAAAACGAGGAAAACGCATTTGGTCCATCGTTTTAGAAAACGCATTTTCGAAAACGAGTTAAAATTTATAACTGAAAACATAAAATTTATAAATGTCGAAATCGCGGAAAACGGGCCGTTTTCAAGGAAAACTAAAAATCATTTCAAAAATGAAAATGGAAAATGACAACGCAAACCAACCACTACCTTAATTTTTCAGTAAATTTGCATAAATGAAAATTCATGATTATTTTTTAACTCTCCCCTTACTGTACTATCAAGTCATATACTTTTCAACATTTTCTTATCATGAAACAATTGAAATTTTTGACAGCTTTAAAAGAGGACGTTGATTAACGGGCCGATTCAGACAATATATTCAATTTGTATAACTCGTTTTGTTAGATCATATAATCATTATCTTTTTGGGATGAAAATAGTCATTTTTTTTATCACGTGAACAGGGTCTGATAAGTTCGCTATGTTTTTAAATTTATATGTAGCTGGAATGTTTTTGTAAAAAAAATTCGAAAGTGGTCAGGGTGTCTATATATATATATATATAAAATTAGTATGTGTAAGAGGGCATGTAATCCTGAGTTTATACCGTATGGACATCGTGGCGGTGGTGACGGTACAACATTGGTGGCGATGGTTTGTTAGTATGGTGGTGGATCTGGTACGACAATGTGGTAGTGTTTTTCTACGATATGTTGATTTGTTAGAGATGGTAGTGTAGTGGCTCTGAGGACGATGGTGGTGGTGGTGGTGCCTGAGGTAATGATGAGATAGTGAGTGCTGGTGGTGGTCATAAATTATTTGATTGGCTTTAATCATTAAATTAGTTAATCTGTGATTAATTAATAATACGTGATCAATGAAAAATATAAACTGTGATAAAGAAATAATGTGTGACCTAAAAAAAAATGTTAATATGTGATCAATAATTTGATAAGTTGTGACTTATAATAGTTATAATTTGTGATTGATAAATAAATTGTGACTTATAAATTTTTTAATTTGTGACCAATGAACAAGCTATAACTTATAAATTTTTTGAATTGTAACCATAAAATAATATGCAACAAACAAAATTGTTAATTCGTAACCAAATTATATAGATGTGTGATCTTAATATATTTAATTAATAAAATATATAATTAATTAATTAAATCATAAATAATTTTTAATAAATATATGATTTTTAAAATTTGATATATTTGCTCTTAATTTTGAAATGAGTGATACTTAGCCCCCGTTTAGCCCAATTTTTTTGGAAATAAAAATGAACAGAACGTTGTTGTTTTTTTCCCCCTTGAAAAATGAGTGATTGAAAAGAAGGGAAATTTTTCGATTTATGTTTAAAATTATTTTATAAAAAATTATGTGATTGAAAATAGAAGAGAGAAAAATAAAATGTAATGAAATTTAAACTTATGCTTAATATCTTAATTATAAATTTTTCCCATCATGAACTCACATGAAAAAAGGCCAAAAAATTATAGGACCACTGTTCAGTACATATATGCATCTAGATTTTTCGATGGCGACGTCTGACTTATTAAGTCCCGTTTAACTTTTTTTTTTTAAAAATAAAATAATTTATTTTTCAAATTTAAATTACACATTTACACAATAAAATATTTTATACATAAATTTAAAAGTTTTCTTCAATTTTTCTTCACTTTAACTACAGAGACCCTGTTTGACTCACATTTTGAAAAAGTACGTTCTTAAACAGTGATTTGATAACATTTCAACTACACATTCTTTAATAAAATAATATTACACGCAGATCCAATTTTTATTTTTATTTTTTAACCACACATTTTTCGTCAATACACTATCAAAAAGAGCATTCTTATTAAAATAATGTGGCTCAAACAAGGCACATTCTTTCAAAAAATCATAATTTAAAATATTATTTTTACACAATAATCCATGGAGTTAATTGTTCCAGTGGTCACTGAATTTAGGTTAATATCTTTGATTGGTCACTGAAGTTTAAAATATTGAGTTAACTTAGGTCAATATTTTCGATTTCTCACTGAACTTTGAAAAATGCTGTACATTACTCATTGTAAACTCGATATTATTCAAAATTCAACATTATGTTAGTGAGTAACGTACAATATATTTTAAAGTTTAGTGACCAAAACTCGATATTTTAAATTTCAGTAAACAATTTAAGACATGAACCTAAGCTCGATAATCAAAACTCAATATTTTAAATTTCAATGACTTATGAAAGAGATGGACATAAATTTAGTAGCCATTGGAACAATTAACTCCAATTCATGTGTCAAAGTGTCCATCCTTAAAACACCTGTCTTTCTCACCGACTTTGTCAAATCTCCTTTCTCACAACTCTCTTTTGTTGCAAAAAAATTTGCCTACAAACTTACCGCCTTGTTATTTCTTCTCTTCTTCTCTCTTAAGTCGCATAATCCAATTCCCAATCTCCCATTCGTCCTCCATTTTCATACTCAAAAAAGTGATAAGGCTGTTTCTCGAACTCTTTGGAAATTGGAATTCCTCTTTCTGTATAATTTTTTTTTTTTTTTTTAAATTTGAATGATGGGACGTTCTCCTTGCTGTGAACTAGAAGCACACACCAATAAAGGAACATGGACTAAAGAAGAAGATGAGCTCCTTGTCAATTACATCGCTCTTCACGGTGAAGGCTGCTGGCGTTCCCTCCCTAAAGCGGCAGGTACTACCTAATATAAATTTATACGGAAACTTTTATACAGTCTAGGTTTTCGGATTCGTTTGGACCAGTCTAATCGTTGGACAAACTCGAAACCTAATTTTTTTTCAAAAAATAATTTTGATCCCAGATTTGTTGTTGACTTCAACTAAAAATAAACTTTTAATTGTAGAGTTAAATTTTGCATTTCCCATTTCCTTGCAACCTAGTATGTGTGTGTTATTTTTATTTCTTGTTCTGCTACTGAGACATACAATTTATGGAGTATATAAATGAATGAAAATTTGCTGTATTTTTCTTGTTATAGGATTGCTTAGATGTGGCAAGAGTTGCAGACTCAGATGGATAAACTACCTGAGGCCTGACCTCAAGAGAGGAAACTTCACTCAAGAGGAAGATGAAATCATTATCAAGCTTCATAGCCTGCTGGGAAATAAGTATGCCCTTCTTCTATGGGATTATTTTTTGAACTTTTGGGCAAAATTTGTTCTGGCGTAACACTAATAAGATGATTTTTTTCGTGAGTAGATAGTTTGATTGTCACGTTAGATATATTCATCCTTAAATTCGACTTATATATCGAGATTTTTCAAGTAGTTATAAGCCATCGAGTCGAGCATTTGACATTCCTTTTCAAATGGATGTCCACGATGGCTCATCTTTTAGCAATGTAGATTCATGGGATCATTCTTTTACTTGAAGCAATCCTCTCCAAGTTATCGCACTTCTCAAACTTGCTGTCTACATCATTGACACATCACTTTAAATTAACATGTATAACTTCTCTCACACTATCACTTGTGATTAAAAATAGGTTTTCGATGATTTGTCAATTAATCATTGGTAAAGAGCAAGTTGGACGACCAATTTTAGACAACAAATCTCAACTCCTCTTATAGAACTCAACCTTTACAATAGACTTATAAAGAAAAGATGTAATGTGATTGTAATTTGATTAATTCAGTTACTTTGACTCGGTGATTTTGGACGCATTTAAAGTCGCCCAGAGTTAATTTCTCAGTTATACTCTTTTCTTCCTCTATTTGACTCAACAACTTCGACAATTTTGAAAAATCAAGGGTACGTTCAACAAAGTTTTCTAAATCCATAATTCTTGATTGCGGATTGAGTGCAAAAATCCTTACCTTTTACTGCTAATTTGTCCGCAGGTGGTCTTTGATAGCAAGAAGATTGTCTGGAAGAACAGACAATGAGATCAAGAATTATTGGAACACTCACATTAAACGTAAGCTTATTCACCGTGGCATTGACCCTCAAACCCACCTCCCCCTCAAAAACGCCACCCCCACCCCTACTGCGGATAAAAACCGTATTTGCTTGAGTTTGAGAAGCCCAACTCCATCATCCAGTGGTACAATTGAAGAAACTCAGCCACATTCCCAGCTTCAGCACGAGCAAAACGCTGCCGTTGCAGTTGATCTTGAGCTGTCTATTGGACTTCCTTCCTACTCAACAACAGCCAGTGACGAGACCACCACCACCACTGCGGACATAGGTGCCTGCTAAACCAATTTGTTTGTGTTGGCAGTTTGGGTTTTGCAAGTGCCAAACCAAAAATATTTTATATAGATATACCTGATCATTGGATATGAAGAGTTAATAGGTTTTAGATTTTTTTGCTTTTCGCAGAAAAAGAAATAAGAATGTATATAATATGTTTCGATTCATACGTTCTTTTGATGTTCCTTTTAGTAGTCCCATATCATAAAATGTGTCTATTGTAGCATTACTGTCAACAAATTAATTCTCATTTTTAATAAATTTTGGCTGGATTACATTAATATTTTAGTCTGCTGCATTTTATTTATCAATATATTTACCCAAAAATAGGGGGAAAAAAAGAAAAAAGAAATAATGCTCCTATTTGTCCCCCATTTTTTAGTAATGAAAATGAGAGGAATAGTATTTTTTTGAAAAATGAATGGTTGTAAAAGAACGAAATTTTTTTGATTCACATGAAATATTATTTTATAAAAGATTGTGTGGTTGAAAA